CTTATACCTACGCATGTATGAGACATACGCGCACACACATACCAAATGTGTCTCACATTGCAAATGTTAATTATCATCTATCTATAAATAAATATCTGATCTTATCTTAATCATTAAAATCCTATAAAAAAAAATAAAAATGCGCTCTTTATTTTCCGCGAGTTCTTATCAATTTTAATTGTAAAATGTTCTACCTGTCCCTATTTAAATTTCATCTTATTTTTGAGTCGAAATCATAGTCGTAAATTTTACGTATTAGGTAAAGCATTGTCCGACATGTGGTTAGATTAGACACTTCCATTCAGTGTTATTATTATCGGTAACCATGCTCAATGATTTTGGGCAGCTGTCGAGAGTTAGTTAGATAGGTAAAACAGTGTCGGTAAGTAGTTCTGCTTGTATTTGGCGATCGCGTGTGGAAACTATCAAGTTAATACCTACCTATTTGTTAAAATTGTGATTGAAGATGATAGTAAAGTAGCGTTTATCTTTTAATGCAAATTGATAATTGGGAAAACTTCTCCACAGGGAGTCGTTCTTTTGAGAGTAAAAAAGAACGCGCGTATCTTATCCACGCGGTTCTTAGGGCTTTTTTATTTAGTATCTATTACATTTATTTAATTATTTCATCTTTTCTTGTTAAGTTTGAATTGTTCATGTTAGCGGTTAATAAATTTCTTTATTCGTCGTCGTTTTATTAGCTCACCCGTCACATGTCCTTCTGATAACCATACAGTTATTATTCCTGTTACCTACCTCCCATACAGATAGGACGGGCGTTTGTTAAGAATCAAGAAATATATCTACTAACAAATATTGTTAAATTAAATACCAACGGGGACGCCGGAAGCTTAAGAACATAAAAAACTTGAAAGGGTTCGAAATAAGTAGTTCTTCGTATATCGATCTATACCTATAGGTATCTACTTATATGTGATACGTACCTAGATAGAGTAAAGTAGGTAGGTACTGTATGGGTAGTGGATGTGTAAGCACAAATCCTCATACGGTTAATAGAGAATTTAAAGCCGCCGTTGATCCGGTAATTAGCGGAAATATCTTTTTGCTTGTGCGACGTTTCCTTCTTTATTGCGCCCTTCGTCCTCTCGCTCATCGTTTTGTATTATTTTGAACAACCTGAGACATAAACGCGATTTCTAAATGTGCTGATTAAACAGCAGTTAGCAGCAGCAGCAGGATATCAATGGGGTTGCTCAGTTATTGATGTTGAAGCACACTACTTTATGTCCGATGCCAACTGCTGCCATCGTAACCAACAGACATAGGTACATCTCATTATATATACTGAATTCCTATTTCCCTTTTGTTGAGTATGCGTTTACCCAACGTAATGACGAAATAGATTGTCGTTTTTAATGGCAGCAGCAGCAAACTCGGTAGGTGATATGTTATGTTAAAGCCGGCCCTGGTCAAGTAACTGTAGAACGGGTAGGTGTAGGTCTCTTTATTAGCATGAATCATTAAGGTCTACGATAGTTTCTTGTCACACATACTTAGTCGGGTTATTTTATTAAAGAATAAGATAAACATAGGGTATTCCATTGTCTATTGAAATTATCCATAAAAATTTTCCAATCAATTTTAACGCTGAGAAGAAGAAGAACGCGATATAATATCGTAACATTTTATGACGTTATTAATAGGTTATTATCCCTAAAAGATATTATTCGGTGCAATTGGCTTTTGAAGTTTACATCTCGTGCAGTAAATAAGAAAAAGAGAAACATATCCCGCGCGCTTCGATACCGATATGTAGAATAGAACCAGGCAATAAAATCCGCAGTAAAATCAAAAATGATCGTAACCCAAGCGATGAAAACATAAATTTAAGACAAGGCACAAACGTAGACGGTTATTAGGTATCTATACACACCTCTCCTTACACTGACTCAGTCCTGTTTGTTAAGCCGAGGTCAAATGCATACCTATTCTATAACACCTATTACATCCTTTATAGACATAAATTCATTTTTTTATGGAGGTTTCTACACGTCCCGTGTAATTAGAGATTCAATTATGGTTGGGCACATTTACAGAATGAAAATTGTTATTCCGTCGCAAAACACGTCTCTTCTGTTCCACCACGCTACCCAAGGTACATCCTCATCCTATTGATATTTGACAAGGATTACTGAAACATAAGTTATAATCGTTATCTTTGCTGATGTCGTCAGTACCTACACAAGATCTTTGAAAATCCAAATGTGTCTTGACACGATATTTTCCTCTCACTGCATTTTGTAGTAGAGCTAAATGTAAATAATAACGGATACGTAAGAAACTGTCCTAGCATTCGCAAATTATTACAGGGCCGGCTTTCACTTATTACATAAGCACTTCAACGAATCAAGCCACAATCATCACAGTCTCCTATTTCACGAGGTAGTCGGGTCCGAATCGAGTAAAAAATATACAAATAACTAAGTGCATAAGTGTATGGGTAGGGATGGATGCGTAGGTATAGATTGGTAGGTAATCGTTTCCATCTGGGCTGGAGACAATGGTTTGCGCACGTCTGTCTCATTATTACTTATTACAAATCGTTTGTCTCTAGCAAACTTAATGGTGAACAAAAGAAAAAACGAAACGAAAACGCGTTTCTTTTATGACATTCGCCAAAAATGACAGGATCGGACAACGATAAGAAAAAATACAAGTGTGGCGAAATAACTCTTTTTGTTTTTTCTGTGTGTAAATATTTTTTCTAATTTTATTTCATTTCAATTAATATTTCATTTCAAGTAATATTTCCTTTCAGTCTAAACTCTATTGTTCTTTCAATCACTTTTACCTGGAAATCCAACTTCAACCATACCTGCATGCACTCCCATACTAATATCTGGTTTTACCCTTAATTGCTTTCTCTTGAATTCTGTACTATCTAATTCTGTGTATTCCTAGAAACTAGTGTCTTCACCCTCTCTCTCACTACTTTTCCTTCTAGAACATTCTATCAAAATTACTAACAACCCTATCCTATAAATACTCGAAAATTTCTTATCTCAAGACAGTCTCTCGTCTACCGCTATCACCACCATTCGTAAGTGCCTTTATCTACTCTGTTGTATTGTTGTTATCTTTGTTATTGTTACTATTGTTGTCTTATCTTGTTCTTTCTATTACTTTGTTCTTGTTGTATGTTTCACTTCTTGTGCCTTTTTGTTACTGGTGTTTCCGTTTTGTTCTGGTTATTATAAATTGTTATTTGTTATTATTAGTGTTTTTTTGGTATTTAAATAATATCCATCAAAAGACACTAAACAAGAAAACTACAACATCGGTTCCATATTCTTCCCTGTTTAAAACCTATCAAAGATTCCAAATTGATAAAACTTTCCCGTTACAAGCCGCGGTTTAAATCTCGCTAAACGGCTTGTCAGGCTCGGACTGAGGCAAAACCGAGCGTGGGCGTCGATGATGATAGGCGTGGTCGTAAAAAAGTGGGGGAAATGGGGTAATGGGCGGGATCTAACACGCGTTAGCCTCGAAGTATAAAGTGACTTGATCGGTGTATACTTTATGACCAGTTGGTGTAAAATCTAACTCCCAAGTTAAATTTGCACACGACGAGGAGCCTATAGCTCAAAGCTCATATACAATCAGACGTACACACACACACACATACCTACTGCCTATTACTCAAACGTACTCAAGTGTGCCTTATAATACTAATATTCACGGCTGCGCGTATTCTCAATTCACCAAAGCATCGTATTGTAAGCATATGCCATTATTCCTTACATTGTTACGTATTTGTGAAAATGTAAGTGCCACTTATTGGAAATAATTTATCTAAAGTTTTGTCAAACGGAACATCTGCTGTGCAAAATTCTCGACTTTGCTTGGAGCGTTACCTCATCGTCCCTGTTCCTTTTTAGTTACCCTCAAACACATCTTTTAAGTAAGTACTTATGTTGAATAGTACTTAGGTGTCAGAAGAGACTGACCGCCTCCTCCTGTCTGTCCATAAGCGAGCGAACGAACGAACGAAGATATAGGTATTTAAGAGCCAGATACGGGGCGCAAGTCAAATTTCCGACGCTCGATAACCGCGACGCCGAGAGACGCCCGAAGCTTAGCATCGTCGCACAACTGTTTATCATGTATACGGGCAGCACGCAAAAGCGTGACACGAAGCCATGCCATGATAGTTGACGTTTGCACTTCTATTTTACACTTCTGATAATATCGACCGTAATATGTTACCTACCGGCTGCGAGGTTAGTAGAGTGTTAAGTGGTTGTTAGCCCCAACTAATGCATGATCCTCACTCAACAATGCTCCAGCGATTCCTAACGATCCTACCGGAAGACGCAAAATGAGATTATTCGCACTCTCATTCTCACTGATTATCGCCTAAGCTCTTGAAGAAGACTTTTGTCAAACTTTAATGGGTAATACCAGCTTACAGTTACAACATGATCGCGAAAAAATACTCCTCAATGGACAGCCTCCTAACCAACGTTGACCTGAGGGGAGAAAGAGAGTTTTTATAACCGTGAACAGATTTGAGGCTATTCGCTTTATTCAATGTTCCACCACTATCTCCGTAGTCAAGTCTAAATGTGCCGAAGGCATGTGAGGAACGTCACCGTCAACAAGAAAAGAAAAGAGAGAGAAATAAGATTAAACACCCGCGGTTATCATCAGATTGCGCTAGAAAAGGACAACACCGCAACGCGTTTGCCTACAGGAGAGAGCAACACACAACTCTCGCTCAAGTGCCCGCCGTATGTGTGAGACGGGGGCTGTGTGTGTGGGTTTGTGTATGTGTCTCAAATAGCTCGAAAACCGCCAGAACCGGGCTGCAAATGTCCCGGACAAAAAAGGCATCGCGGTCGGCGTCGCAAAAAGCCCCAGCAACGCCTCCATAGGCATAACCCGCTAACTCCGGCCCACCACAAGTGTGAAAAGGGTGGGGGCGACGTCGCCCTCCTATTGGCCAAGTGCCGGCTGCTCACACCAACGCGCCAATCAGCGCGCGACGTCGTCATTAGCACTACCGGCGTTGGACGTCGCGTCACTGGTCTATAGTCTTCGCCAACGCTTACGGTCGGTCAGAGGTGTCACGGTTGACACTATAGGGCACCGTTGTTTCACTACATTACTATCACTAACTAGTGCAAACAACACCCCAACACCTCAATGGTAACGCGAATGTGCGCGATTGTTATGTTGGACACCGTCCATGCCTATCCGTTTTGTGATTGTCTAAAATGAGGCAAATCCAACTAATAGCCTCTCATCGAGAAGTTACAGAATATTAATTCGTTAGCTTCAACAGATCGTGCTACAGTGAAAAAACCAGAAGATTTGGTGAAAGTGACGACACTTGAAAGTGAGTTTGTAGAGACGAGTGTCTCCGACGTGGATGTTCCCTAGGGAACCGATCTACCGAAAACCGACAAGTTAATGAGGTGGCAAAGAGAATCAACGAATGACTCCAATTCCTTAATTACTGTATTCAAAAGATTACGAAGCGCTCCTCATTTTTTATAAGTTCCGTTGAAGATTTGGTGAAAGTGACGACACTTGAAGTGGGTATCTAAGACGAATTTCTGCGACGTGGACGTTCCCCAGGGAACGGATCTAGCGAAGACCATGATGTTAATGAGGTGGTAAAGCGAATCAATGAATCACTCTAATCTCTTAATCACTGTATCCAAAAGATCACAGAAGCGCTCCTCATTTTTCATAAGTTCCGCAAAGTCTGCACAAAATCGGCGCTTTTTTTCATTGAGAAATCCAAATCAATTTCAAATCGAAAAACTGCTTGGCTGAATAAAAACACTGACTATTTCCTATAGCTGAAGACATAGGTATATCTACCCACTGCCTGATTTGTACCTCCAATTCTCATAATTTCTCAAGGGTGATTAAGCGCCTAGATCACTACTTATTCCGATTTCACTTGAGAAAATTTTCTATCACCTTATTTGTCTTAATTCCGAAAATCACTGAAGTTTCCGATCAAGTGGAGAGATCCTTCCTCTCGGAAACTTACCGTCGGATCGCTGAGGCGACGCGCCAGCCATTCCTATCATAGCTACAGGGGTTGCAGGTTCGTTTTCACGATAACAACGTCAAATACCTGCATAATATTCGACCATAAAACTTTCCGTCGGACACTAACGACAACCCCCTTCAGCTGCTAGCCCATCCAAACACACCACACAGATTCGAATGCAAATTCGTGAGAAGCGGTCCATCAGGAATCGTTGTTTCGATTCTACCGCACCAAAAGTCACCCCCAATGCGTTACGAAACAGCCTTGGATCCGAATTTTGACGCCAAAGTCAAAAACACTATGGCCTACCATCCTTTTCTGCAGCTGCCGCGTCAAACGGACTTCAGCGTAAGCTCGTTGTTAACCGCTGCAAATAACACCACCGGTGGTGCTGGTGGAGGTGGAGGTACACCAACGACTACTCCATCACCGGCTGCCACCCCCGGTTACTTTCCGGCTGCAGCCCTAGCCGCTTTCGGAGGCCAAGGACCGCACGGCTGTTATCCCGGCACTCTGATACCCAAGATTAACCATCCCCACCATCCTCATCATCCTCTGGGAGCTCATCCATACACGACAGCGGAAGACGTGGTTTTAGCTGCAGTTGCTGCACACAATCACCATCCAGCGATGGTGAGGCCTTTGAGAGCCATCCAGCCTGAAGAGGACGGTGTCATAGACGATCCTAAAGTCACGCTTGAGGGAAAGGACCTTTGGGAGAAGTTTCATAAGCTAGGAACGGAGATGGTCATTACAAAGAGTGGAAGGTAAGCGCTAAATCAGTGAAGATTGTCGATTTCTTTTGAATCAGAATTGCTTGGAAACCGAAGAAGATAAAGCATCTAATATTTCTTGACATTTTCCTTTTTTGTGAAGTTCCTCCTTCATATTATCCGAAAAACATTAACAACTCAAACTTTACTAACCGCAGCAGGAAATTGAGCATCTCCTTTATTTGTCATACCCTGCATTTGCATTAAGTGCCACGATTTTCGGGTATCACGTTCATACATATAGGCACCCCATTGGAAAACAATTTAATTAAAGGCAGAACGGTCTGGGTATTTGTGGCGGTTACTTACTATGCAAAAAAGGACACGAGGACACGATTGCATTTAACACACATTTGTTTAACAGATCCACAGATGTCTGTAATATGAATAAACCTTAGGTATGCATTACCCGTACTTGTTGAAAGGATATTTAATATACATTGCGCACTATAGCTGCTACTGACGACGCTGCTGTACACTGCGCTCTGACGTTTACACACATACACATCTAAACGTGCTTATTTACTTACTTTATGCTAATTGTATGCACTTTATTTCTTAACTTGTCAATTCAATGCGGCCATTAGCGGGATGGAATGTCTTTTACATCATTTTTTTGCGTCACCAATAACGTGAATTAAACGTAGGCGAGGTCCGTATTTCTGTTATGGGTGTCTTGACTTCCATTAGCCTATAGCGATACCAAAGGCAATATGTGCTGTGAAAAGCGTTACACAATCGCTGATTAACCATTGCGACATTGACATCCTATTCATGATTCCAATGGGTAAATGGTACCTACCCTTTCCTGATCAAAGGCCAAAAATTGATTCATCAATCTAAAGTCGTCTGTCTACCATCATCGGGTATCTATTATGATATATTAAGATTACTCTTATACGTATATCGTGAAGAATTAGATGCCTAGGTATTTGTTTTCAGTTCCTTTCTCGTAAATAAATAATTATTTCGACACGGCCTAATGTACCATTTTACACATGTTATTAGGCTTGACGGTGTAGATACGTTGGCAAACCGAAACGAATTAAGACTTCCAGCGAAAACAGCACTTCAAACAATTCGCAGGCTATTATTAGCTAAAAGGATGTGGAAACTTGATAAATTATCCTCCTGGGATCTATGTTTAACTAATGATGACAAACGAACTTATTGCAAAACAAATCGATTTCAGAAGCGAAATATTGCACACGATACGGAACAAAATAAAAGCGTGGAGGAAGAACGAAAGTGCCGTACGTAACCCATAGATACGCAATTTCTTTATGGAAATTCTTAAGGGATGAGAAGGCTGTCAGGCCGAGGAATTTATTATCATTTCTACTGTGACATTCAAGTTAAGGTGATACAGCGTAATATAACTCGAAAAGTGTGGAGGAAGGAATTCTTTTGAAACAATTCAATAATGTTATGTCTTTAGATTGATGTATTAGCTCGGTTATATTTAACGCTCGCAGAAATGAAATATTTTCGAAAATACTAACGTTAGGTAGGTACGTCGCAAATAAACGCAAGTCTTGTCTTACTCGTGCATGAACAATTAGCATATACCTTAATGCTCTCTAGGACTCCTTCAAGAATCTCGCAAGTAGGTACCTACTTAATAGGTGATGTTTGTGATCGCGATTATCGATTCCATTCGAATAGAATATATTTAGGTAGCTGCCAGAAAAAAGGATGAAACAGATAAAAGAACAGCCATGTGACGTCATAGAACATTAGAAATTCAAGCGTCACCCCCTTCTGTTTCTGCTCCCACCACCCTCTCCTATCTATCCCCGTGACTGCCGTCGGCGCGGCGTCTCGACGTCGACTTTGCCGTCTTCTCGTTCGTCTGGAATTGACGACCGAGCCAAGGAAGGCCCTTTCTCTTCCCTCGACACGATCATCAGATGGTAATGACGGCAGAAATAGAAAAAGAAGTTTCACAGTTACCCTTTTCGACAATGTGTCCGCAACATCCATACGTCTATCCACTCTGCTGTTGGTGGGACGGAATCTCGACTCAATGAACCGCACGAACCTCCAGATTTGGGTGCGACACTGATCAGAAACATGAACACATAAAAGTGTTACTGCACAGTTATAATTGTTCCGGAAGATTTTGAAGGAGACCGTGCCGCCGCCACAATTTTACAGGATAATAATAATCCTTTAGATGTCTTAATAGGCCTTATGCTAAATGGAAAGTCTTTGTTAGTTAAGTCTTATTCACACGATTCCAGAAAGAGAACTCCACAATGTTAAATGATTACCGCGGCATATTTGGAAGTCTCAAATTAGCTCAATTTTCATCATACGAGAACGACACCCTTCCAACTCGTACGCCACAAAACGAATCCGGAAAAGCCGTCTAGATCTCCGGCTTATTATATGACGTTATTGTGCCTCTACCTACGACAACTCAAGTTTAACGTACGAACATACTAACGTACAGTTCGGCTCAAATAAAATGAACGGCATATCATTTCTCCTCTGCACTTTTTATCTACGACTCTTTCGGTTTTTTTTTTTTGATCGAACTTTTAAAAAGATTCGTTTTATTTATTCATGGGACCGTGATCGGTTTATTTGTATACGCTAGTGTATTTTTGTAGATATACAGGTATACGTCAGATGACAATGTTTGTAGGGTTAGACATGTAGGTACTTTATAACCACACAGTTGATCTGCGGTGGTGAGATGTACCCACCACGTATGCACGTATGGGCACCGATACACGCATGAACGTACGTATAAGTGAATGCATGTAGATGAAACAGAATAAAGAGCGATTGAAGAAGAGGAACAGAGCGTACAAGCATAACACGACAGGGTGCTAATAATTAGGGCTCTTTCGTGCCGGTTTCAGCTCTCTTGTTCCCCATTAAAGTTCCCCGCGACTGCGAGTTCTTTGAGCCAGTTTAACCCCTGCGCACCCGCCATCATCCGCCCTATCCGTTCACCTCCAGGATCGTACTTCAAAACATTCTTCTTTCGTAAAAAAAAAGAGACGGGCGACATATATGTCCTTCTTTAAATCTAACACACTGCTACGTGCACACGAGATCAACCCTGTAATCTGTACTGTCCAAATTATTTTATTCCTTTTTGCCATTACCGTTACATCTTTATTGTGTACATATTTCTTTTGTGAGACTCCGTACATATCATCATCCAACATGAAGCGTTAAACACAGGATATTTTAATTCTCTTTCCAGAAACATGCCAACTTCGGCCCTGTTTTTCCTTTAACTTATCATCGAACCACTGTGCACAGTTCTGGCTAATGTGCTGTGTGCTCCGTTCATGTCCCTGATGTTTATGCACGCACATGAACCCCTGGTTCTGGATGAAACAATACCATTACGACGTCAGTGTGATGATGTCGTTCTCTATTTTTCCCTTTTTCGTTATTTCTCTTTCTCTCTCGCTCTTATTCTTTTGCTTCCATATAGCACACACTTCCTTACACATGTGAGCAGACGCTGAACGAATGCGTGCGCCGCTGCTTGCTGCTTATTATTAGGTAGAGGTGTTTTGTGGATGGATGTCGGGGCCATAGTCACGATAAATTTAATAATTTTAAAAGAAGAAAAATACATTATTAGCATCATAATCATCACCGCACACCGTCATTAAATCTCCTCACAAACGAGTCCCAGTTAGCGACAAAGATTGAAGACTTGATCTAATCTGACCGTGTCTGTTTATCCGAAGAGCAACAAAGCCACTGAGGATGTAATTTGTATATTTAATTGCCGTCGGTGATTAATACAGATAAACCCGTGCATATGTGCATCTATATAACATAGTCGACTCGATCCGGATGCCCTTTCGAGAGTTTAGTTCGCATATCCGATAGAAGCGACGTACTGTACATAGTGGGTAGTAGATACACTCTTGTCCAAAAAATCTGTAAATATAATAACACTTAGGGAGGAACGTCGTATGTAGGTACGTAGGTATAAAGTGCAGTTACTGATGATATGAACTAATAAAATAAACAAGTCGATGACAGGATTCGAAATTTTATTATTTATTAAGTGCTGCCGATTTAAGTAATTCGTTGTTTTATTGCCTAGAGATAAGACGTTTTACTGTCGGCCGAAATGCAGCAATTAAAGCGAAAGATGCGCGATTCCAGCGGAGGTAGCCTCGTACCAATCGCAATCGGTGCCAAATAACTTGAGAGACGAAGAAAACAAAACCGTTAAAATTTATCGTAGTCTGCGCGCCGAGAATTGAACGCTTTGTTTTCCAGCGAGACGAACGAAAATAAAACGCTTTTATTATCAATGCGAGCGCTGATAATGGACCTTTGCTTCGTTTGCCGAAACGATCTGCTTTTTTATTTGGTTTTCTTGTTAACTTCCCATTAGGAAGTTATTGTAATTGGGTCGAAAAGTGAAATCGGAATTTTCATTATATTTCCACGTTTTAACATATTAGTAGCATGCTAGCCAATTTTTTTGATGATGTGTGTATGTACGTACGTACGTACGTACGTACGTACGTATGTACGTACGTACGTACGTACGTACGTACGTACGTACGTACGTACGTACAACGGATTGAGATATCGCCCTCAACCAAAATTTTTTCGAAAGATATTATCATAATGAAGATCTGAAAGAAATTTGAACGAAATCGGTCAAGCCGTTTTTTTTTTATAAAAAAAAAAACGAATTAATTACAAACAATTTAATTAAAATACGTTCTAATCTAATCACAACAATGAAGTTACGGAATCAATAATAACGAAATATCATTATTCAAGACAGGGAATAACATATTATAATAACATATTATAATAAAAATTTGTTTATAACAAAATGAATTGTTATAAACAATCGATAAACAATAAAAAATAGTATTTACCAATTGACTGATGCAAGTACTCTATCAATTCGGTTTTCTCAGACGAAATACTGTTTCTTATGGGTTTATAAAATGACGAANCCAATTTTTTTTTTTTTTTTTAAAGACGACTTG